ATCCTTGTCTGACCCCACGTTTAAGGGAGAATCGAGGCGAAGTACCAGATTGTAATCTGATAGAGCAGTTTCCATTTGTATACATTGTTTTGATAGCATTGCTAAAGTATGAACCAAAACCAAATTTCTTTAAAGCATGAAATATGAATTTATGTTCGACTGTGTCGAAAGCTTTATAAAAATCTAAAAAAGATAAAATTATCAGAGTATAAATTGGAGTAATCAAGTAAATCAAGTACTARTCTGATGTTGTTGGAAATGTGTCTGTTTTTCATGAAGCCGGATTGAGTCTCGTCAATTATGTTGTCCAAGACGGTTTTTATTCTTTTAGCGAAAATCAGAGCAAATATTTTATAATCATTATTTAGTAAACAGATTGGACRCCAGTTATCAATGAAAAGTGTATCCTTCTTTGGTTTTGGTATTAAGGTTATAAGGCCTTGAGTTAAAGTMGGGGGAAGACCTTTATTATCAACACATTCTGAAAAAAGTCCAAGAAGGAAAGGTGCTAGCTGTTTGGAGAATGCTTTATAAAATTCAGAAGTAAGACCGTCTGTCCCTGGGGATTTATTGGATTTGAGGTGTTCGATGGCAAATATAATTTCTTGTAATGTTAATGGTTTGTCTCAAGATTCTTTCGATTCAGCATCAGTTCTTTTAGTTTCTGTAAGAGAATCTAAAAATTGACAGATTCTTCACTAACTTTGGATTCGTATAACTTGGTATAAAAGTCTGAGCAATATTTGGTATAAAAGTCTGAGCAATATTTAGAAATTTTACAAGGGTCATCTGTGATATCTCCATGAATATTTAATTTTTGTATAGYATTATTTYTAGCATGAAATTTTTCAAGTCGAAAGAAATAGGCCGAATTCTGCTCCCCTTCTTCTAACCATCTTCTCCTGCTTCTCACAAAAGCCCCTTCAGCCTTTCGTCTATAAAGGTCATCCAACTTTGCTATCAAAACAATTGGAAATTAACCAAAAGTCTATGCGTGATAAACTAGTACGTGCTTTATTGCTCCAAGTATATGAATTAACATTAGGATTCTTTTCTCTCCATATATCAGTTAAATTAAATTTGTGCATAAACTGTATGAGATTAGAAGCCTTAAAATAATTGGTTCGCGGAGGCCATCTGTCTTGAAGACTGTCCAAAGTAATATTGAAGTCACCACCCATCACTATCATTGCATTTGGATATTTAGAAAGCCAATATAAAAAACGAGATTCTAAGACATTTAGCATTGTATCATTTTCACATTTTGAGTTATACCCATACAAATTAACAAGCAAAATTACAGTATCAGTTGKATCAAGAATCAAAATAAAGAAATGACCATTAGGATCACCTTCAGAGTGTAAAATGGCCCCATTGTAGGAGYTTTTCAGAATAGCAGTACCTGCTGCTCTTTCTGAGCCATGTGCAAACCAAATGTCATCGCCCCATTGCGTTTTCCATAACTGTGCATCATTCTTAACAGAGTGTGTCTCTTGRAAAAAAGAGAAGTCTGTTTTATGTTGCTTGGCGAATAAAAATAAAGCTTTACGTTTAACATTCTGTCTCAACCCCCTGGCGTTAAGAGAAAAAACAGAAAAGGACAGTGTAATAAAGTACTAAGAACAAGTACTATAAAAAGAAAATAAAAACTTSAAGTACTAAACGGTACTAAATATATGAAAAAATAATGTCCATCCCTTATTGGAGAGAGCAATAAAATAAACAATCTAGTGTAAACAATCTCTTAAAGTAATCAATACTAAAATATAAAAGTGTCACTGATTAGGCTCTTAATACACACACACACACACACACACACATAAATGTACAGTAGTAATAAAATTAAGGTACATTTAAATTAAAGAATGGGTAAAGTATTTTTTAATACTTTTGTGACACCCATCAAAATAATAATCTCATGTAAATCGTATTAAATGGTCTTCTTAGAAAAGGATATGAACAGTTTTAGGTGTGAAGTGCAGTGCACACTGATATTTCTTTGCAGAGCAGTGTAGGAAACGGGTGTGTGAGGGTTATGATTTTAAAAGGATCATCAAGTTGACGTCTTGGACCAAACGTGGAGAGATTTAGGTGGGTGAAGCTGCGTAAGCGGATGATGTGTCCATTTGGAACCGATCGAGTTGCTCTGGACGTATCTCTCTTCCATCGATGATGACACGGGTACCAGCAAAATGAGCCTTCTTTCCTTCTTTCTTTGCAGCTTCTATTATGGGCCATAACTTGTTTCGTGTTGCTTTGTCATCAGTTGTTAAATCTTCAGCGAATCTCAGTTTATTGTTTTTTAAGTATTCGCTCTTTTTCGCCTCCCTCAATAGGTCTCTTGTGGATCTGTTTGTAAAGCGGATGATGGTTGTCCTCTGCCTGTTTGGAGTCCCCTGGTGTCTTCCTAGACGATGGACAATATCAATGCCATCTGTGATTTTTTGCTAGGGTTGGGCAATATTGGCAAAAAAATTAATCACGATTAATTGCGGTATTTAGCCGATAACGATTAATTTGACGATTAATCCCCCAGAGTCCCTGGACACCCTTATTTCCTAGTCACATGACCAATTTATAAGGAGAAAATTGGCTCTTCGTAAAAATCTGTTCCAAATTGTGTCAAAATTACAGACTTCAGGCTATGCATCAAACTTTAAATTGTGTTGATAGATAAATAACTTAGACAATTTTTTTAATGTTGGTCATATTTGAATCAGAGAGGAACACCAAGCGGCTAGTCTGCCAGGTGGCATTTATCGTATTAATTGTCAACTGCCAAAAATTAATCGATTAATGTTTTTCTGACGATTAATTGCACACGATACAATTATGCCCAACCCTATTTTTTGCTGTGAATCAGATATCATGGCACAGCAGATGTTGACAACCTTGGCTTTAATATCTTCTGGATTATTTTCTGGGACACCATGAAGTCTGAGGTTCCATCTCCGTCCATACCTTTCTGATTCATTAWGCTTAGATTGCAGATCTGCTATTTGTCTGTCATATTTTTCACTGGCATTTTTGACCTCTCTCAAAATCAGTTTTAACAGATTCAACTTCTGCAAAGGCAAAATCAATGGACCTCTTCAGGGCTTCGATGCTGACTGAGTTCTTGGTAATCATACCTTCAAGATTATCTGCTCGCTCATTGACTGTGGCAATGATGTTTTCCTGTAAATCTGCCAAAGATATATCAGCCTTTTTCTTTTTTTCTTTTGGCTTGACCGGTGTATCAGGAGTAGATAATGGCAGGGATTTAAGATCATCATCTTGATTATCAGCGGTGCAAGCTTCAGAGGCTGTGTAATCATGATCCATCACGTTAGCTGATGTAGCAACAGTAGATGCGGTATTTTCTGATAGGTTTGTTGCTGTTGTTTTAGGAATATCTGGTGTTCCAAAAAGACATAACTTTTATGTTGACCAAAGGTTATTTCTCTTTGCGTTTCTTTCCTTAGCAATATTAGCTGCGTGATCCAATAGGCAGAAAAGGCTGTTAAGTCAATATTAAATAAAAGACCAGTATTCGGTAGGTTCTGAGAATGTTTACACAATATTTGTAGGTTTTTTTAGTGCATCGTATTAAATTGAATCTTGGAAATAAGGGATAGAAATCCGAAGAGCTGCTCAGCTACTAAAGTGTGCGTCTGCTTCGGTCGCCATCTTGGCCCCGGCCCCTCGAACATCGACTCATGTAAGTCGCAGTTTATGCTCCATGTTAAAATAAACAACTTCAGCGTCACATTTTATCAAGTTTAAATCACAGTTTAACCCCAAACAGCGAATCCTACAATTTCACATAGAAAATAATCAAGGAACTAATAACCTCGCACGAACTCACCTTTGGTCTTCTCCTGCACTGACAGACTCTCCGTGGCTTTTTGACTTGGCGCAGACTCACGTGACCTGCGGCCGCGCGCAGCTTATCTAAACAAAAAATGGCGACCACAGCGCTGAGCCCATGTTTTAAAACCATGAAGTTACAGAAGAAAGCTGTCTCACACAGACAGCTTCATGTTCTAAAAGCTATAATGTCTAAAAAATGAGGACATTTTTGAGAAACTGCAGTTCAGCTTTACTTTTGTACTGGCCTGTGTTTGGTGAATGCATCGTAGGGGAGACCGGGGACAGTTGCAACACGTCATTTTTCTACAAACAGAAACAAGCTAGAGTGATGACACTCACACTGTATGCTCAGTTAGATGCCCCACCTTTCAAAGAAAAAGTAAGCAGATTCAAAAACTGCTCCAGGATTTATTTGGGGGAAAAAAMTGTTTTTGAGGTACCAAAGTATTTTTTATTTTTTTTGCCCAGCTTTATTTTTTTATACTGTTTTCACTGTTTTTGTGATCCAACTCAAACTTATATGGTTTAAACAAGTGATAGGTTGACTTTTAACACATGAGGTTTTATCATGGCCGACAATAAATCCATATAAAAACAGAGCACATGTAGATGACATTAAGATGTTGAAATTAAGTTTACACTTAAAAGGGTATTGGGTATTCATGACAATTTTATAGTTTAAAACTTATAAGTGTTTAAGATGTATTTTCTGCAGTTGTTGTTTTCAACAATGGTTTTAAAATCCCAATTTCTTTCAATGTAAATTTTGCATAACGTAGGCGTACAGTGACGATAGGCAAAACAAAAGTTAATCGCCTCACAAATTGTTCTATTATTCTTGTTTCTAAAAGCCAACTGTATTTTATATCAATTTGAGTCTTTGACATCTGTATATAAGGTCTACTCATCAAGGCAATCTATATTCGTCATTTGATCAAAAAGAATAAATAAATAACCCTGTAATTTCATTATAACTTACAGTTTGTATTAATTTAGCAATAATATAAATATAAAAATAATAAAACTTTTATTTACAGTGAAATATATTGTATTAATAATATGTTGCAACCATCCCCAAACAATGTTGCAACTGTCCCCGGCGCTGGGGATTTTAGCTATTAACAGACAGATGTAAGTTTATTGTATTAAAATTTGGTTTGTCTAATTCAAACCATCTCTGATAAACAGAGTCAAATGCAAAAAGTGTTGCAACTGTCCCCGGCTTCCCCTATTTCACCTGTATCACATCTTTATACTATGATTTTCAGATTATTTTGGGATTATTTTATACTTGTCATTAGGTAATCAAGTTATAAGATTTTATCAGCTTTTATGGAGGTCAGGTAAGCAGAGGCTCTCTATGACAGAGAAACAAATGAAAGCTTTAGACCTCTCAAAACTGTTTTAAAAACTCAGGTTTATTTTTTTGGCATGTGAATCAGACTGCACACTTTTTCTACTTACTGTTATTTTATTCTATATTTTTAATTTACTGTTGTTCTGTAATTGTTTCACTGTTACACTTGTTCTTATAGCATGTCAGTCAATGACTCTTCTTTAAAATCAGCAGTAGTTTGTTGTTAGCAGGAAGCACATTCAGAGCTTTAGATAATGCATCATGTAAAGTTGTGGAGTTCTGAGAGTCAGACTATTTACAGCTCCTACAATTTATTTAGTTCCAAAATAAAAATCTCTTCCTTTTGGTAGGAAAATAATAATCTTATTAAACATTTTTACTTATTGAGTCTATACTACTGTCTTTATAGTACTTTATTGAACCTTTATTAAATGGTAAGCTGATTGAGAACAAATTCTCATTTGCAACAACGACCTGTAAATGGATGGTAAATTGATGATTGTGGCTTTGTGTCGGTGTATCGTAATGTTATGTTGAGGGTGGCCTAAAGATAATAATCAACAATGGGAATAAAGGTAATTAAAAATATTTTCACATAGACAGTGGTGGACAATAAAGTACTCAACTCTAGTCCTTGAGTAAAATTATTGATACTCATGGTCAAATCTACTGATCAAAAAGTTACTTGGTCGAAAACCTACTCAAGTTAAAGTACCGAAGTGCTTACTTTTGAAAATATTTAAGTATTCAAAAGTACATGCATTTAAAAATACTCAAGTATTCAAAAGTACAAATTATATTTGCACATTGCAGTAATGTTTTCAGAGTGKCCTATTCTGAGTCGAATAATTACATTTCATCTTTTCTATTCAATCTTGTTTTTCTTCCCAGCCCCACATGTTTTTGTATTCTGTACAAATGTTTTCCAGTCTCCTGTAAATCCCAGTAATCTTGCCATGTTGTCTGTGTATATTTCTTSATGTGGTAAATGGTTTTATTTCAGATTTACTTAATAGGACTTGAAGTTCTATAGATTTCAACACAATAAGTGTTTACACATCTGCTGCTGCACAATCATTTGTACTGTTACTATTCATTGTCATCACTCAACTGGACAATCCTTTGCACTACTACTCTGCTGTAATTGCACATCTGTGTTTCTTGTCTGCATTGTGATTCTTCACTTTACAGTTATTGGTCTGTTGAGTTTGTTTTGCACTGAAAACAGGCAATTTCTSATTCCTAATGTCAGATTCTGTTAGTCTACTGTCTCTAAAATAAAACATATCTTTTTCTATCCTTGCACAATTCATTATATTATATTTTTATTAGTAGTAGTTGAATCATGGCTAGTCAGTGTTAATTTTTGTTTTGTGTGCTGTCTATAGTTTTTAAAGTAACTAATGTGGGAACGGATGCTGCGGTGACACCTGAATTTCCCCTCTGCAGGACAATAAAGGCAATTTCTATTCTATTCTATTCTATTC